AAGGTCACACTTAGGGGTCAAAAATTAACATAGTCTGTTATAGGGTATATTTTGTGTCCGATCTAGAACTTCTTCATAATTCTAGATATTTTGAAATAACTTTGCACGAATCACGATAATAAGGCGATATGTCATGTACAACACATGCACCCCTACCGCTACCTCCAATGTCAAGGTCACACTTAAAGGTCAAAGATCAACAGAGTCTGTTATATGGTATATTTTATGTCCCGTCCGTAACTTCTTCATAGAGCAAGTAATTTTGAAAATACTTGGCATACTTGTGAATTAGCACAATTTTATGCTTCATATAAAACGTCCCTGAGGCGGGGGACGTTGGTAACTCTGTTACAAATTCTTGTGTGAAATGCTTTACCCATGCAAGCAGAAAAAGAGATTACAACAAATTTTGACCTTGACTCATAGACTTTATGGGGACAACTTTTATTGCGCATGCAAAATTCAGACTACATCCATTAATGAGCTCGGTGCACAGATTTTATGGGAACTACTTTTTCTACGCATGAAAAAAATCAAACTACATCCATTAATGTCCACCAACTCTATGGGAAATACTTTACTCGTGCATGCAAAAAATAACACCAGACTTCATACTCAGGCAAATTAATGTCAAAAATATTAAAATGATCTTATGAACTCGAATCACACTAAAATGACATTTCTTTAAATCCCAGCATGAATTTCTGTTTAATTCTATATATTTTGGGTTTGAAGCGTTAATATATCTATATATGTTGAATGAAATTTAGTAGCCGAGAGAATTTCCGGGTACAAGTTTTGTCACTTGACCTAACCCTGGAAGTTGCAATAACAGATATTGTGGATGTTGTATGATTGAAACAGGTCAAAGTCATTCATTTGACATGTCCTGTCACGTTTCAAAAGTTCACTGTGACAACTATTGTGAAATCTTAACGCTCTAACTTGACCCACGCCGGTCAGGTTAGAAAGCAAATAAGGGACTACATCTTTTAATGAGCTCGGTGCTTTGACTAAATGAGAACTACTTTACCCGCGCATGCAAATAGCAGACAACTTCCATTAATGAGCTTAGCACAGCGACTTTCCTCATCTTCGTCATCCTGGCACTCAAACCAAACTCCAAATATAGCCAATACTTCCGCTGCCAACATCATAACAAATGACGTCATTTCAAAACCAAGAACGCACGCATCCAGTTCTAAAATTAAGAGAATGGTCAATATTTATTACATGTTTTAAGCCTCTGCGGCAATTGTTGCTAATTTTATATAGCTTGTTCTTCACCGCGTTAGAGTCGAGTACCGTCATGATCTTTTGAAATTTTTCTAGAAGCTATTTATAAGTCCAAACTGACAATTGTTTCAAGTCGTTTTCTTTGGCACGGCCATTTTTATGTACATTGTACGTGTTATAATTTTAACAAACTTTGTAGAGAGGCCTTCTTGACATGCCAAATATCTACACTCTAGCCCTCGCTAATTAGCGTGTTTTCGCTTCGCGCCCCCAGCCATTTTTACTTGTTAATTCTCGACTTTTCGATTGGCGGGTCGCGGGGCGAAAACTCTAATGGCATAAATCATCCACCATACTTAATAGTTTTAGAAAATATTTTTTATTATACATATAAGGAAACACATAACAGATGGGAAGGCCATCTGTCACCATACAGTAGGGCTTATATTTAAAGTAAAAAAAAACGTGGTAGAAGTCAATTAAGCGATGTTGCGTGGTCAAATCTTATTGTTTTAGAGGATATTACTACATACATACATGTATACGGAAAACCTTGACCTCCGGGCATGGCCAATTTTGACCCTTGGAATATGATTTGAACAAACATGTAGAGGCCAACTACACGATGTTTCGTGCTCAAGCAACTGTATTTATTTTAGGACAAGATTTTTAAATAGTACATGAATTTTTATTTCAGTTGTCTAGCCACCTAGTGTTCTGCATGTAATTAATTTTTGGACAACTTCGAAAGAATATGATCCGATGATCACTTTAAGAAAGATTTGTTTTGATTATGACCCAAGAGTAGAAGTTGATAATATAAGTGTGGAACGACAGACAGACGAACGAACAGACGTCGGACTCTGATTTATCACAATAGCGGACAGTGAGCACATGGTGCTCTGTAAAAGTACAAAAAGATTATTTTATCAACATCCAGTTCTTTTGTGATAAAATGATGGTCTTTTACTTACTTATTCCTAAAAGTTATTGTAATAACACAATGCAATAATAATTTTCTATGACGGTCTATGTGTGTCTTTTTAAATCATACAAACAATCATGTTTTAAATTGTTTGGTATGTTCTGACAAATGCATTCAGCGCTGACAGATTTACATGATTTGCATAATATTATGTAACCTGTGTTATTTAAGTTCAAATATCTGGTGTTGTCTTTTGCATTATGGAATTAAAAATCGCTGGTATTTTCTTGATTTACGTTCCTCGCCGTCATTTACTTCGCCGTCATTTGCATCAATTACGTGTCTTTCGGCCTTTTACATCAATTACATGTCTTGTCGCTATTTACATCATTTACGTACCTCGAAGTCATAAACGTGCCTCGCCGCTATTTACACCATTTACGTGCTTTGCTACCATTTTTATCATAAATGTACCTCGGTGCCCTTTCAACCATTTACGTACCTCGCAGCCATTTACATCATTTATGTGCCTCGCCGGTATCTACATCATTTACGTGCACGTGCCTCGTTGCGATTTACACAATTAACGTGCCTCGCAACCATTTGTATTATTTGTGTGCCTCGCCGCCATATACATCAATTATGTGCCTCATTGCAATTTACACAATTTATGTGCCTCGCCGTCATTTACATCATTTACGTGCCTCGTCGCTATTTACATAATTAATGTGCCTCGCTGCATAAGGTTCGAATTTCTTCGGGTTTTTTTGTGAGGAATACACCCAGCTTGTTTACAGAACGTAAACTTTTCTTACAAGGTGCCCATTCCTGGAAGTATGCATGGAGATGCATGTCAGGTCTTCCTCAACCAGTCAATCTAGGAAGTCTCCATATGACTTATTCAGTGTCGGACCTAGCCCCGAAAAGGGATTCGAAATAATTTTGTTAGCGCTACAATAGAAAATATTTTTATAATTGAGAAAAATTAAAATAATGTTCATTATGAATATAGAACTACTTTATTTTGTGTCAATAGACTACTTGATAATACTTTACCGCCATTTGTGCTTTCACGTGTCTCATTATCCTGCCCGGCACAACAACGGTACATCAATCCAATCGAGTCACATGTTGAGTTCGAAACCCAGTGCGCAGTAAACACTTCAACAGTTTGTAAAACTAACGGAGGAAAAAATAAACAACACACTATGAGATCAACACAGACAACAACAGCACTTCCCATTTTGTAGTGAAACGCCTGTGTTAAACGAAAATATCAAACAACTTAACCACAAAGATCGTTATTTCAAAAAGACACGTTTTAAGACACTAAATTTCTTAATAACATAATAATTGTTTTGATATATTTGTATATATCTTAATTATATACTTCCGGTAAATCAATTAAAACGAGTAAATGATAATTGGTTTAAGATCCTGTTTTTCTTCATTATCTTACTTTCAAAACAAGATGTGTAACTCCTTCGAAACTGTATGCTCTATCCGTAAAAGTTGCCTCCCTTTAAGCAGTATTTTTTGTCCGGCAAATTTCTCATCTATGACATGCAATTTTTCAGCTACAACCCGTTGTTGTGTGATTACAATTTCTACAAAAGGATAATCCTGCAAATAACGTGTCATTCCCCACCCATATCCGGTTTATAAAAAACTTAACTGTTTAACATGGTAATGATTTCTGGTTTTGATACATGGTTATGAAACTTGGTTATGATATATTTTCATGACATATATGATTATGAAATACATGGTAATGAGTCACGGTAAGATGATTATGATACATGGTAATGATATTTGATTTTGATACATTGTGATGATAAATGGTCATGGTACAGGATTATGAAACATGGTTATATGAGTATGATATATGGTTTTGATATTTGCTTATGATACATTGTAATGAAACTTGGTTATGATAAATGGCCGTGATACATGGTTATGAAACATGATAATAATATTTATGATACCGACGGATCACTTGATAAGCCAGGGTCAAAATATATAAGAAAAGGGATATGTTTAAGGACACGAAGAATAAAGCCTGCTGGTTAGGTTAGCCTTTGCCTCTGTCTATGGTAAGGTCAGCTTGCACAGCCGTGCAGTCTGGCCAACCGCTTTACATTTGGTAACTCGAATTTTTGTATTTTGATATTGAAATTTCCTAAATGTTGAAATTCAAAGCTAGAAAAACACATAACACAAATTACCGCTTAAAAAATGCAGATACAGATTGACAGCTGGACAAGATTGTATATAAGACACAGGTTGATGATGAATAGACAAAAATAAATAATAAATATTTTGAAAACTGGATATGATTTTTTGGAACATAATTCACTTAACTGTGACATAGTCTTCTACAGCGTAACGTTGTATATACATGTATGTGTTGATGATATGTCCGCTTCTCATTATGCAGAACAAAATGAGTGAATGGATTAAAGCAAATAAGTCTTAAATTATCATACATATTTCACACGCCCTTCCAAAATGAGGAAATATTCATTTGCTGAATATAGGATAGTAGCCTGCAAATTCCTCTCCGTCATAGTTGAAAAAAGCTGTTTCCTCGATTTATGATTTATATCTTGCGAATATTCAATCATTTAATCTTGCCCTCAGATTTGTATTTGTTGAACGGACGCAAACTTCGTTATTTCTTTTATATTTATTTATCGATTTCTTTTTAGAAATATCAATAAATATCCAAACTAATCAGATTCAAGAACGTACTATTTCTAAACTTTTTAAAGATGATTTTATAAAATTGTATTAATTTAAAAAGGCTTTGCAATTTACGACAAATGGATTATTATTATTATTAGTCACACAAACTATCATATTTTGTGGTTTCACTTTTGAACTATAAAATATCTACCCGGAATCTTTTAACTTGTTTATTAAAACACGTTAATGCATGTAACTATATAAAAAATAAATGAGTAATAACATAATCTCTACACGGATGTATATGTAAACGTGGGATTTGATTGGCATATAAAGACTAATAAAAATATTTTAAGTTTAATTATAAAAAAAAAACTTACAGTTTTCGGTCACAAATTTAGATTTTGAAATTAAAGCGACATTATGCCCATCCAAGGTTATATAATGAATGTACAAGTGAAAGTCAAAATAAGTTCATGATTTGCAATAATTCCTTTTCAAATTCTTTTTATAATTTACTTCGTTTGAACGATGAATATCTCCCGTGTCTCAAGGAATTTCTATAAATATCAATTGGAATTTATATTACATGATCAGGATCCATGCTGTTCGCTATTAGTTTCTCTATTTGTTATATGGTTTGTAAGCGAACAGCATGGATCCTAATCAGACCGTGCGTGTTTTCTTAGCTTAGTAAGGCTCTATCCGTCCTTTTAGGCACTGAGTGTATGGACTCCAGCAGAACCGTGTGGCAACTTCAGACAATAAAATGTATTTCACTAATACCAATTCCGGTCAAAATCTAATACCTTTACTGTAAGAAAGAACAACATGTTTTCGATGTCTTTAAAAAAGTTTATTAACAGTAGAATATATGTTGTTCAAATAATTTGATATAAATGCTCTCAAATTATTCTAACGGTTAAAAAATTAGAGAAATTGTTAAAACATTTAAATATAACATAAAATCGTTTCATTTAAAAACAGATATGAGAATATACTACAATTCAAATGTACTTGCAGTATATAATTTAAACACAATCCTTTAATAGAATTTCAACAGATAGCACTTAATTATGTTGTATGAAAATAGCACAAATGCCGAAATCCGGACAGAGCCCGAGATCTTAAACCTAGCCCGTGTTCAAGACCTAGACTGAATTTTCGGCTAACGGGCTTGGCCAAGAACCGCAAAGACCAGATTACACGTTTCATAATCGGTAATGCATGAAGCCCCGGAATGCGGTCCATGTTCTTATTCGCACATGTGTATCTTACGTGCTAAGCCTCCTTTACATATCTCGTTCAATAGACTGAAATTTGTAAGCTACTCCGGAAATAGCTAACATCGTATATATCCATTCCCAAACAATCTAAAGCATAACTCTCTGGCAACTGTAGTGTTCTATAATAGTCACATGTCTCGAGTATCATATCAGTTCGTTGTGCATATTGTCACATTGAACGCTTCACTTACTATCTAAAACTTATTGGACAGAACGAGTAAAATCATCTAATTCAAGGCCTGAATACGACAATACATATGTACAAGCTTAAAACAAAATTTCTTGTATAAAAACCTCCTTCACAACATATAAATAGATTGAAGTACAAATTATTTTTAAAATTGACTTTAACATTTAATGAAGAACATGTGATTTAAGCACATTTTTTTCGAATTCTAAACTTTCACATAAGTAACTGTTGTTTTCATACTTGTTGTAATTATTTACTAGCCTAGTTTCTCTATGAAAATATATGTATCTTTTGATCCAGTTATTTTATGTAATTCCTTTCGAAAATTATATATGCTATGTTTTAAAAAAATTACATTTATACATACATATGCACATGTTTTATTGTAATACTTATTGTAATATTATCACGTTCCTTTTACGCGCCAAATGTAACGTCTATTAACGTAGACGTTTGTTTTGTACGTTTACGTCATTTTTATATATGTATCAACTGAGGAAGCTTAATAAAGCGATACACATGTTAAGATACTTAAATTTGTGGTTTTCTCGCACCTCCATTAGGGCGGCGCATATGTTAACGTTTAATAAACATTCAGTCGAAAAGTGCTGCCAGATGGGTACCGGACACTATAAAAGTTAGATGCTTTCAAAATTTAAAAATTGATCTAGTATACATTTATCACAGCCCAAATCTCGTAATAGAATGGTTTTCACTCATCACCGCAAACCTAAAAGGCATACGCTTGTCATCTCTCGAGGATATACCCAATCCTCTACTCATCTATATAAGATTGATTGGATGATATAGAAGCGAAAAATTACCGGGTAGTTATTAAAACAAGTTTGTGATACGGAAACTAGCGAAGTTGCACCATAGCGATATTGTGAGTGTGTTTATGATGAACCAGGTCAAAGTCATTCATTTGCAATTTTTTACCACGTTTCAAAAGTTCACTGTGACAACTATTGTGAAATCTTAACGCTCCAACTTGACCCACGCGGGTCAGGTTAAAAATAAACATTTAATATTTTATAATGAGTTAAGATTTTTTCCAGGCAAACTGCTTAGTGTACCCGTATTTATTTTGAGGACATTTACAGAGTGATGAAACGAAGAAAATAACAATTTTGTCTGTGTTTCCCTGCAGTGACCCTGGTGCATCGATTTTATGGAAATAATTATCCGCGCATGCAAATAACGTGCCCTGACTAAATGAGAACTACTTTACCCGCGCATGCAAATAGCAGACAACATCCATTAATGAGCTTATCACAGCGACTTTCCTCATCTTCGTCCTTGTACTCGAACCACACTCCAAATATAGCCAATATTTCCGCTGCTAACATCATAACAAATGACGTCATTTCAAAACCAAGAACGTACGATCCAGTTCTAAAATTAAGAGAATGATCAATATTTATTACATCTGCGGTTAATGTTGCTAATCTTATATATAGCTTGTTCTTCAACGCGTTAGAGTCGAGTACCGTCATGAACTTTTGAAATTCTTCTAGAAGCTACTTTTAACCCAAACTGACAATCGTTTTCTTTGACACGGCCATTTTTTTACGTGCGGGTTATAATTTTAACAAACTTTTTAGATGCATTCTTGACATGCCAAATATCTACTCTCTAGCCCTCGCTGATTAGCGTCTTTTCGCTCCGCACCTCGCCATTTTACTTGATAATTCTCGACTTTTCGCTTGGCGAGGTCGCGGGGCGAGAACTCGAATGGCACAAATCAGCCACCATACTTTCATACTTTTCAGAAGAGATGACAATAAAATATTTGTTCAGTATACATATAGGGAAACCAATGGGAAAGGCCATATGTGGCCATACAGTAGGGCTTATATTTTTCAGTAAAATAAAAACTTGGTAGAAGTCAATGAAGCAATGTTGCGTGGTCAAATCTTATGGTTTAAGAGGATATTACTACATACATACATACATGTATACGGAAAACCTTGACCTCTGGGCATGGCCAATTTTGACCCTAGGAATATAATTTGAACAAACATGTAGATGCCAACTACACGATGTTTCGTGCTCAAGCAACTGTATTTATTTTAGGACAAGAATTTTCAATATATGAATTTTTATTTCAGATGTCATGCCACCTAGAGTTGTGCATGGAATTAATTTTTGTGCAACTTTGAAAGAATATGATCCAATGATCACTGT